AGGGTCGCCTACACAATTGGAAAATTTCACAGAGTCCAGATTTCAAGCTATTTTTAAAATATCTGAAGATCTGGCAACCCCGAGCCTGCATATCCCCATGGCAACACCAGCTGGTGCTGCGCGGCCAGCTGCCCCCTGCAGACTGGACCGGCGCCCTGCGCTTCTTCGCGGACCCGCCACTCACTGTTGCCCACACCTAGCCTAGCCCTGGCCCTGCAAACGTTTGTGTGCGCCAACCCTGATCTAAGGCATCTGATGGGCAGAAAGCCACGCCGGGGACAGGAGAACAGTGGCATCTGTCCCAGCAGCCTGCAGCTAGAAGAATCACACCGAGGCTCTCACGGCAGTTGTCAGTGCGTGGGGGTTTCCGGATCCACGGAAATCCTTCCGTTGTGCTGGGTTCAGGTGGCCCGAGGGCTCCAAAACTCGCCCTCTCTGCCCAGGCGAGAGATACAGTTCCTGCTCTGCACCAGCAGGGGGCGACTCTCCCTGCCAGTCCCTCAGAGCTGCGTGGGAGCACGGTTCCTGCGGCTGAGGGCTGCTCGGCTCCCATTGCTAAAGCGCAGTCCCTCCGTTGTCCTGGGTCCTGCAACGGTCCCTTTTCCACCTGGGGTGACACCTGAGGTGACACCCGGTTCGGTGGTGATTGGCTGGGCCTGGACATAGTCCAAGTGCCCAAGGACAGCCTCGAGAGCCCACGCACCCACCTCGGAGCCTGCTAGCCTATGGCCCAGGAGCCACACGGCACCCCTCCTGCCCTCTCTTCTCCAGCAGCCTCCTCTTCCTCTTCTTTTGGGGCTGCTCAGCCCTCCGGAGACCTGTGCCCAATTACTGCGTGTTTGGCACTGTGTGCAGGGCTTTATATACTTTATTTAAAATCTCAACAATCCTACGAAGTAGGTAATAATCCCCATGTTATAAGTGGGGAAACTGAGTCCGTGTAACTAGCAAGTGGTGGAGTTGAGATTCACATCTGGGCCTGGGGAGCCCCTCTTCCCTGGACTGCCTTGTTCTCCAGGAGGGAGTTTCAGAGTCAGCCCACAAGGGGAGGTGGGGGGCTAAGGTTTGAGGGCAGAGGACAATTCCTTGCTCAGGTGCAGCCTGAAGCCACCCACACAGGCCACCTGTCCTGTTGGAGTCACCCCAGGACAGGGGCTGAACCTGGGGTCCCTAAACCAGGATTAAAGGCTTCAGGCGTCAGCATGGCCACCAGGGAGGAATGGCTGTTGGGAGCTTACTGACTACCTCACCGGCCCCACCTGGGACAGTGGTCTGAGCAGCAGGACGGGACCAGCGTCTGCCTTGACCCCATGAAGGGGTGGTGAGCAGGCAGGGACAGCAGAGACCCCGGACAGTTCAGATGGCTCTCTCAAGGGGGTGGAACCTGGATGAGGATTGAGAGACCGAGAATCCGCTCCAAGTGGTGGTAGGGCCGCTTCCCTACCCCCACCCATGGGGAGCGGAGAAGCCCAAGCCCAGGCTAATCATCAGCCCCTCTGAGACTGTCACAGCGACATCCCAGCCCCTGAGACCTAGGGAAGAGAGGTTCCCCCCATGCTGTATCATCCAGTTTAATTCCCATTTTCCCACCATGCTATGCACGCACGCACCTGGGTCTGCAGGTTCTTCCTCCAATTCCACCCGGTGATCACCCCCAATTATCAATGCCCAGTGTCTACACCATTGACCCTGATCTGGTTCCTCACACCTGGTCATTCCCTCCTCTCCTGAGCTGGCTGGAACTGTGTGGATCTCCCCCGTGGCATTCAGGTGAGTCTCCTTTGTGCTCTGATTGTCTCTGGGCCACCACCTTTCCTGCCAAGCAGACAGAAGGCAGGGAGGGTGGCGCACAGCGCTGAGCATGGGCCCTTAGGCACACAAGGGATGAGACTGGCCAGATGGATGAACAGAGAGATGAAGAGGTGAACAGGTGAGTGGGCGGGAGGGTGGCAGCCCACAGAGAGGTCAGTGTGGTCCCTGTAATTGGCCAGAACACCCAGAGCTCCCACTGCTGCTAGCGAGTAAGATTTCCCTGTTTCACTTGTCACAGCCCCTCAGCGAATCCAGACTTACAGAGACCGCACTGTGTAGGCAGCAGGCTGGCCACAAAGTTCATTTGGTTCCATCAGATGGCTCTGAGTAGCGTGGAGTTGTCTTCAACTTTATTTGAAACAATTTTGTTAGACTGTATTGTGACAGCCATTGTATCAGTGTGCATTAAAAAAAAATCTTGTCAAAACTGGTGAACTTTTTGTGTAGCCATTTTAATATTGAAGGTGGAAGAAAATACACAACATTTTTGGCATATTAGGCTTTATTATGTCAAGAAAGGTAAAAACACAACTGAAATAAAAAAAAAGATTTGCATGGTGTACACAGAAGGTGCTGTGACTGATCGAATGCATCAGAAGTGGTTTGCAAAGTTTCATGCTGGAGATTTCTCGCTGGACCATGCTCCACATTTGGATAGACCAGTCGAAGTCAATAGCGATCAAATCAAGACATTAATTGGGAATAATCAACATTCTACTACATGGGAGAGAGCTGAAATACTGAAAATATCCAATTCAATAAAATTATTGGTGAAAATGAAAAATGTGCCTTTTATTTTACGGGAAACAAAAATTAAACGGACTTCTTGGCTGACCCAATACAAAGGCAGCTGGGAGTTGGCTCTATGCTCCCTCCCTCACTGAACTCCAGCTGCCCTGCAGGTAAGATGAGGATATTGGACTGGATGACTCCCTGTGCCCTTCAGCTCAAAGGACTCATCTGTGCTGGGACCCAGCCGAGAACAGGGGAAGCTGACTGAATGCAGTTCAGCTTAAAGGAAACTCTGGAAGAGTTCAGACAAAAGGTGAAAAGAAGAGAGAAAAGAAAGAAAGGAGAGGCTGAAGGAAAGGAGGGAAGGAGAAAGAAAATCGATTATCATGTCCCAAATTAAACATGCATTGGGCACATAATATTTCCCAAATGCATCGTTTCTTTAAAAAAGCAAACAGTTCACTTCCTCATATCGAGTTGAGGACCACAACATGGAGGTCGGGGTGGGTCCCCTGGTGTAATGGAGGTACCGCAGGCAAAGACGGCTAGAGGAGTAAGATGCCACCTGGAAGGATGAGCTGGGGGAGGGGTTTAGGGTTGTGGGGGGGGCTACCTTCTCTCCACCCTTCCCCTACTTTAGCCAATCCACCTCCTCCAGTATCTACTTTACATATTGATCTTATGAACCCAATATATTATTTAAATAAAAGATTTCTGGTGGGCTTTTCTTCGAGCCACTTAAAAAACAAAGAGGAACAAGAGGCCCAGAGGAGGTGATCTGCCCAAGCTCATACAGCAAGTGCCTGGCCCCAACTCCCAGGGACAGTTAATAGAAGCCTCAGTTCAGATGCCATGAGTCCAAGCACATCCACTGGACGCAGAGGAGAGGGGCACTGCCCCTCCCTGAGCAGCGTGAACTCCCCCTACCTGGCGCTGCTCCCACAGCCTCAGTGGGAAGCCACAGGGCACCTTTCAGACAATGTTCCACTAGGAACAGACGGGGAGCCCAGGCCCAATTATGGACCTGAAAATCTTGCAGAGGGTGAATGCCCAGAACAGGGGGTGCTTGGGGCAACAGCCCAGCTTCCCGCCAGCCTCACAGTCGGAAACCTTCCTAAAACAACCCCTTGGCTGCCTCGGAGCATAATTTAATCCTTCTTTGATGACTCCGGATCTTGCTCGGCCTGGGGCCACTCAGAGAACATCAATCACTGCTGGGCCCAGGTGGGGGCCCCAAGGAGGGGCAGCTGACCCTGCCCTGGTGTGCAGATGGAGGAAGAGTTGGGAGGAGGCTTTGGGGGAGGAGGGGCATGGCTGGAGCTTGAGGAGCTGGATGCTGCATTGGTGGAAAAGGGGGCCAAGGAGGAGAATGGGAGGCCCCTCCCTTACCACAAAGGGGGTCCCTAGATGGGCCCCACCTTGGCTCGCAGGGCAGGTGGGGTGGGGCAGCTCCCAGGACTCTCTGGAGTTAAGAAGCAGGCGGGTGGCAGGGCTGTCGAGAAGGCAAGGCTGGATGAGGGCTGAGGGAGACGGCACAGGGCCCCTAGCCTTTCTAGAGAATGTCAGCTTCCAGGCGCAGGAGGGGCTCAGGGCCACACCACATCTGCCATGCCACTTCCTCGCTAAGGGACCCAGGGCAAGTTACTCGACCTCTCTGTGCTCATTTCCAAATTTATGGTGATAGCATAGTGACAGGCCCCCTGTGAGGCTCACATATGTGGAAAGGGCTGGAAGAACATCCCTCAGAACACTCCGGAGTTGGCTCCACGTGAGACTGGATGTTTTGTTTTGGTTGGCTTGTTTGTCTTTCCTATATTTTATGCATGGAACACAGTCTTATATAATTAAAATAATATTCAGAGAAACAACAAAACAAAACAATGGAGGCTGTGATTTGCCCCCAGCAGGATGTGGCCTGTCTGGAGAGGAGCCTGTCCGAGGAGTGTGGCCTAGGAGGGGCTTCGGCTGAGTCTCTGGGGTCTGAGATGCAGACAGGGGTGCCCAGGGGATGACAGCCCTGAGCCCTCGGACACGGGTGCAGGGGACTATTTCTTCCTGGGCGGGCCCTTGCATTTCCCAGAGAAAAGTCTCCAGGACCCTTCTCCAGAGGCCCCAGGCAGGGAAGGTGAGACCCTGGAGAATGTTGTCTGTTCAGGACAGAACACCTCTCTCTGGCTATTGTCAGCTCCCCCGTCCTCAGAGATGAGGTGGGAAGGGGAGCCCCAGGACTCAGTCAGACCCCCTCCCAGACCCCTCCTTCCCCAGGTGAGCCTGCCCCACAGGCTCAACCACACTGGCAGCCCCGCCTTTGCTGAGGCAGCCCTTTGAGGAAAGCTCAGCTTGATGGGTCCACCGTGGCTCTCCCTGCCGGGGAGGGCCGTAAATCCTCAAAAGAAAGTCAAACATTATCCCAGGGAACAGCTTATGCCTTATATAACCCCCTCCACCCACCCGGGGTAGGCACAAACACAGCTCGCTGGAGCCGAGCTGCCCAAAGAACTGCTGCTGGACCCCGGGACCGAGAGAGGCTTCAGCCACATCGACCGCCAGCCCCACCGGAGGCAGCCAGGCCCAGCCGCCAGGTGAGGAGGGGCGGAGGCCCCCAGGCCCTGCCCGGCCCCCAGGGACTAGGCCTCTTGAAGCTAGGCCCTGCCTCTGCTGTGACTGGCCAAGCCCCTTATGCCCTCTGGGACCTGCCTGGGCCCTTTCTGCTACCCTAATAGAGTGGGCCTCACCCCAGGGGATGGTCAATAGCCAGGAGGCTCAGAGCTTGGGGAGACCCTTCCCAGCAGGCAGGCTGAAGTAACCATGTATGTCTGCTCTGGGCAACCGGGGGCCTCCTCCCCCACGCCCACTATCCATCCTGTATGTCCGAGACAGGGCCCTTGGGTCCCAGCTGTGTGACCCGCACTGCAGCACGCATGCAGCACACGTGACCAGCCTGGCCGAGCGCACACGGACTCATGCCCCCAAGTCCATACACACACACACACACACACACACACACACAACCATGGTCCCAAGCTCACACCACTGCGCCCCCACGCTCCAGCCCAAACACACTCACCCCAGCAGACCCGCTGTGGACACACACCGGCGACCCCTCATCTGTACGTGCAGCTGGGTCCCTCCCCTGCAGCCACGCACAGGTCTGTGCACACACGCAGCCGAGCCCCACACCCTTACGCGTCAATATACACACAACGTCCCACACACTTGTGTTCACGTACACCTTGGCACGCCATCCCACACACGCACCCACACCCATCAACGTGCCCACACGTCACACACACGCACACATGCCTCTCCCTGTTCTGGTGCCTTGCCCGCAGCTCTGGCTCCTCTTGCTCGGTACCATGACCTTCTCCAAGACCGTGGACAGCGTGAACGGCCAGGGCCCCTTCCAGTTCCTCATCATGGTCCTGCTGGGCCTCCCGGTCCTCGGCTTAGCCAACCACAACCTGCTGCAGATCTTCACAGCGGCCACCCCTGCCCACCACTGCCGCCCACCCCCCAACGCCTCCGAGGGGCCCTGGGTGCTCCCCGTGGACCTGAATGGGAAGCCGGAGTCGTGCCTCCGTTTTGTGCACCCACCCAACGCCAGCCTGCCCAACGACACCCGGGGGGCCACCGAGCCGTGCCGGGACGGCTGGGTCTACGACGTCAGCGCCAGGGACTCCATTGTGACTGAGGTATGCCCAGAGGCGGCCCTGTGTGCCACTTACAACAGCCCCCACACCCTGCAGCACTCACAGACAGGGAGCTGGCCGGGCCCAGTGTCCCTAGGCCGTGGGGACAGGGCGCTGGACAGGCAGAGAGGACGGACTGGGGTACAGATGTGTACCAACCAAGAGCTTTGGTTTCTTCGCCCTCAGAGGACAAGCATTTCTCCAAGCATCCCATTCTGTGCACGGGGCATGGTGCTGAGCTCAGGGGACACAAGAGTGCCCCGGCCCTGCTCCCGCGGGGTCCGCAGCCTAGTGGGGGTTGCACCAACTACAGAAAGCACCCCACAGAGAAATGCGAAGTTGCTACTTGGAAGGACTTGGGGCTGTGACCTGAGACTGCAGCCTGCCCCTGAGCTGGGTGTGGGGGTAGTGGGTGGGGGCAGGGGCAGAACTGAGGGAAGAGTTGCTACAGAAGTGACCCTGGACCCGAGATAAGAACTTGCGTCCAGAGTTAGCCAGGCAGGGGCGGTGGAGGGCAGGGAGGGAAAGAAGGAAAATTCCATCTTGTTCATGCAAAGGTCCTAAGGTGGGAGGTGAATGGAGGAGAAAGAGGACAGAGTGGGGGGTGGAAATCCCCCTGAGCAGACCCCGAAGACGTCTCCTCCACTCGTCCGGGCACTGCTGGGTTCACCCCACTCGTTCCTGCCTTCCTGAGTCACTGGTCTTTGCACCTGCACCCGACTCCGGGAGGTGCAGGGTTAAATCAGACTTGAATGCACAGGCAGGCCAGAGGCCACGGTAAGAACTGGCCTTTACTGAGGCTCTACCCACTGCCTGGCACATTTTGGTGCTTTGCAGACATTGTCTCCCAGTGTGATTCCCACCATGATGTCCTACTGAGGGTGATTTTATCTCCTGTTACAGATCAAAAACAGCTGAGACTCAGAGAAGGGGAGGGAAGTTCTGGTGCCACACAGCCAGTCGGTTTCAGGAATTGGAATTTAAAGCTAAAGCCCATTAGAGGCACCAGGTGGAGGACAAGGGTCTCTGGCAATTCAAAGATGGAGGAGCCATAGAATGCCAGGGAGGCTTCCTGGAGGAGGAGGCATCTGCACAGTGAGCAGAGACCAATGTTTTCATTCCCCCTAGGGGGACTGTGAGCTCCTCAAGGGCAGGATCTTGCTTTTGCCTCATTAGAAGAGCTGGGTTTCCAAGTCTTTACCCAGTGCCAGTCCTGCGCTGGGCATGCTGTGTGGGTGGGCTCCTGGAGTCTCAGAAGATGATGGCATCTCAGCAAGAGACGTGTTACTAGTATCTCCAGTTCACAAATGAGGGAACTCGAGCTCAGTCAGCTTCCATGACTCTCCCAGGATTACACACGGTTAGGACCAGGCAGCGGAAGGATCTGAGCCCAAGACTCCCTGTGTCTGGAGTCCGTTGTTGCTTCCATTTGCTTGATGAATATTTCTTTTTTAAATATACTTTATTGATTACGCTATTACAGTTGTCCCATTTCCCCCCTTCACCCCTTCACTCCCCTCTACCCTGCCCACCCTCTCCCACCCACATTCCGCCACTTTAGTTCATGTCCATGTGTCATAAGTTCTTTAGCTTCTGCATTTCTCATACTATTCTTACCCTCCCCCGTCTATTTTCTACCTACCATCTATGCTACTTATTCTCCATACCTTTTCCCCCTCTATCCCCCTCCCACTCCCCTGTTGCTAACCCTCCATGTGATCTCCATTTCTGTGGGTCTGTTCCTGTTCTAGTTGTTTGCTTTTATTTTAAGTGTGGTTGCTAATAATTGTGAGTTTGCTGTCATTTTGCTATACACGTCTTTTCTTTATCTTCTTTTCTTAGATAAGTCCCTTTAACATTTCATAAAATAAGGGCTTGGTGATGATGAACTCCTTTAACTTGACCTTATCTGAGAAGCACTTTATCTGCCCTTCCATTCTAAATGAAAGCTTTGCTGGATAGAGCAATCTGGGATGTAGGTCCTTGCCTTTCATCACTTGGAATACTTTCCAGCCCCTTCTTGCCTGCAAGGCCTCCTTTGAGAAATCAGCTGACAGTCTGATGGGAACTCCTTTGTAGGTGACTGTCTCCTTATCTCTTGCTGCTTCTAGGATTCTCTCCTTCATTTTTACCTTGGCTAATGTAATTATGATGTGCCTTGGTGTGTTCCTCCTTGGGTCCAACTTCTTTGGGACTCTCTAAGCTTCATGGACTTCCTGGAAGTCTATTTCCTTTGCCAGAATGGGGAAGTTCTCCTTTATTATTTGTTCAAATACATTTTCCACTTGTTGCTCTTCCTCTTCTCCTTCTGGTACCCCTATAATTCAGATGTTGAAACATTTAAAGATGTCCTGGAGGTTCCTAAGCTTCTCATTTTTTTGAATTCTTATTTCTCCATTCTTTCCTGTTTGGTTGTTTCTTCCTTCTGAGCCACTCCATTGATTTGAGTCCCAGTTTTCTTCCCATCATTATTGGTTCCCTGTGCATTTTCCTTCATTTTTCTTATCATAGCCTGCATTTGTTTTTCTAATTTGTGATCAAAATCAACCAATTCTGTGAGCATCTTGATCACCAGTGCTTTGAACTGTGCACCTGATAGGTTGGCTATCTCTCAGTCACTTAAAAGTACTGACTCTGGGGCTTTCAACTCTGTTTGAGCCATCTCCCGCCCCCCCCCGCCCCCGCTTTGACCTGGTTGAGCCTGTTACATATGAGGGGCAGAGCCTTAGGTGTTCACCAGGGCTGGGCACCCCAGTCACTGGGTTGTGATATTGTATGTGGGGGCGGGGCCTGACAGGGAACAATGGTGCTTGCTCCGCTCTCCATGGGACCTCAGTCCCTTCTACCGCTTCCTCCAAGCAAACTAGGCCCCTCTGGTGCCAATTCCCATGTGGGTGGGCTTGTGCACTCTGTGGGACTTTCCAACAACCTCTCCTGTGAGGCTGGGAGTCTCTCCCTGTGCCTCAACCCCCACAGGTGTTTTCAATCAGTGCCCCAAGGCTCTATTTACCAGCGCTGGGATCCTGGGTTGTGTGCAGTGCCTTCCTTCACAATCGCTGCCTCGCTGGGTCTGCTGCTTGCCACCCTCAGCCGGGGTCTGCCAGCTGCCACTTGTGCGCCCAGGGTCCACCCGCTGCAGTCTTGTGCGTCCCAGATGCCTTATGCACCCAGTCCCAATGCTCTCTGCTCTCCTCACTGCTACCCACGCCAGCTTCCTGACTCCATTCCTCTTACCGGTCTGGATGAACATGTCTATTTTAACTTCTTGGTTGTCCAACTTCCATACAGTTCAGTTTTCTGTCAGTTCTGATTGTTATTCTGTTTCTAAATTAATGTTGTCCCTATCTTGGTTGTGCGAGGAGGCACAGTGTGTCTACCTATGCCTCCATCTTGGCCGGAAGTCTCACCCTGAACTTTTTTTTTAATTCTTATTTGTTGATTTTAGGGAGAGGGAGAGAGAGAGAGAAACATCAATTTGTTGTTCCATTTATTGATGCGTTCATTGGTTGATTCTTGTATGTGCCCTGACTGGAAGTCTAGCCCCCAACCTTGGGGGATGATGCTCTAACTCACCTTTACCTTTGATGCCTATCTTCCGCTTTCCCTCTGAGGAGCCTTCTGGCCTCTGATCTGGCTGTGCTCCAGCGCTTAAACCTGTTCCTCACCCTCTGGGCCCAATAGCAGAGCATCCCCCCAGCTCTGGCCCCGGCTGCCTCCTCAACCGCAGTTCTGGCCCATCCTGGGCTGCACGTCCTGTAGTGGTTCATGGTGATGGCTCACATATCCTGAGCCTTCCCACCTGCAGCCCAGAGCTCAGAGCAAAGCACAAGTGCGGCATCGGGAAGCCATGGTCAAGGCCATTCATTGGGGGCCCAACAGACCTGTTTGAGTCTCTGCCTCAAAAGGAACCGAGACATGCTTAGGCAGGTTATTGACTCTCTGTGCCTCGATTTCTTTGTCTGAAAGTGGGGACAATCATAACACCCACTTCGGGAAGTTACTAGAGCATCATTGGCAAACCTCACTCCTGGGCATCACAGGCCCTCTCTTCCTCACCTGCCACCTTCCTGGTGCATCAGCCCACTTGGGAAGCATTGCGGGGGGGGGGGCAAGGGGGGCTTCCTCTTCTCCCCTTCTAGAACCTAGCTTCCTAGGGGCTCAGAAAACACTCCAAGAGAGGAAAGAGAAGGCCAAGAACATTGGACTAGGGTACTGAGAGCAAGAACTCTATATGGAGTTCCCGAAAGTCGTTGGGGAAGAGGTCAGCCCAGGCTACACCAAGGGCTGCATGGAAGTCCCGCAAAGCTCCCTCCAACCAGCAAGTTAATTTTTCCTCGCTGGGCCTCATCAGTCAGATACGAATACTAACCCCGGCCCTGTTCACTCATTAATTATTCATTGAACAAACATTAACATTGACCACGTCCCAACCACTCTGTTAGCTGTGAGGGACAAAGAGCCAAGGGGACCTCTCTGCCCACCTTGAGTTCGCAGAGGGCCAGAGGGAGGTGGGTAAATCAGCAGCTAGAAGGCTGTGGGATGTGTCCTCTTGGAGGTAAGAAGAGGGTGCTGACTGCGAGAGGAGAAATGGGGAGCAACATGATCTCAGCCACGGGTCCACTTCACAGATGCTCACTGACCGCCTGCTTGGGCCGGGCGCTGGGAAAGCTCTTCCTGGCATCGTGATGTGAGCGTAGGACTGGCAGCATTGCTAGACCGAGGGAATGATGACCAGTACAATAGCTGAGAGAAATGTAACAGCAAGCTTTCCTACCAGCACTAGTTTAACCCGATGAACCCATGAGAAGCCCACGCCCCATGTGGCCCGGCCTGTGTGTAGAATCAGAGAAACAAATCACAGTCGGTTCCTGGAAGAATCACTGAACCTTCAGCTGTAGGTTTTGTTACCAGGGCCTTCTAAAGAGTCTGACATGGCTAACCGCAGAGAAAGCACGCCAAAAATTTCTGTAAATATCTTTCCCTCCCTCCCCCTCAACATTCAAGGATGCCTTTAAAAACCTCTCCAGTTCTCTCTGTATCAGGTTCCTTCATTGCCATGTTCTTCTGTTCCCAGTCCCTTGCCGCCACCCCCCCCCCACCCCCACCAAGCCAGCAGGTACTTCAAACATATAGGAAACGCAAGATGTATTCATTTCCTAGTGCTTCCGTTGGAAAGCAGCACAAACTGGGTGGCTTCTAACAACAGAGACACGTGCACTGCCTCACAGTTCTAGAGGCCAGATGTCCACCATCGAGGTGCAGGCAAGCTCTCCCACAGGCCCCAGGGAAGCATCCTTGCTTCCCTCTCCCAGGTTCTGGTGGTGGTTTGCGATCCTTGGCATCCTGGGCTTACGGGCACAACCCCCCAGCCTCTGCCTCCATCATCACGGGGTCTCCTCCCTGTGCATCTGTCTCTTCTCTTACAAGACCTCCGGTCCGATGAGATGACGGCTCCATGGCAACCCCAGTAGGACCTCACCATAACTAATTACATCAGCAACAACCCTATTTTCAAATAAGGCCACGTTCCATTTTACCAGGAGTTAGGACTTCAACCTGTCTTTTGGGGGGACACAGCCCAATCCACCACAGTTGCACATCCGAGGCCGGAGCCCCGTGGATCAGGGTTGATCCTCAGGCAGCCATGGCCACTGTTACCACGAATGCCAATGAGCCTCGTTAACCATGAAATCTCTTAAAAGTTACTTATAATGCAATTAATGCCAAGACTCTTACTATTTAACCACAAAGGACTCCTCCTTCTGAGCTTCAAAACCTCATTTTACCAGCCCCAGTACACAATGTTCTGTAGAAGTCCTTCCGGTCTGATGGTGAGGTTTTTGTAGTCCTTCTCGCCAACGTGTGCTGAGGGATTCGGCATACACAGCCTAGACCGTCTCCTTCTCGACACAGGCCCCGCCTGGGGACATGAGGCAGCCCACCTCTCAGCATGTGGAGAGGGGACCCCGTGATCCATCAGGTAGACATCGGCACAGGTCTAAGTCTCTGAGGCTCTCCGTCCCTCTGTTCTTTCTGGGGGGTGCTCACACATTTAACTGCACACGTGTGTATTCAGTGACCACTAGGTGCTGTTCTAGGCAATAGAAGTCCCGTAGTGAACAAAACAGACCCGAAGCCTCACTTCCATCAGGATAACATTCTGGGGAGAGAAAGTTTAAACACTGAAAAGTATGCAATAGGTCTGACGGTGCAAGCGCTATAGAGAAAATAAAGCAGGGTAGAGGGGTACCCACTGCTGGGGCGGGGGGTGCAATGTTAAAGATGGTGGGCAAGGAAGTTCTCGTTAACGAGACAACATCTGAGCAAAGATTATAGGCAGTGAAGGAGCCAGCCGGGTGGCTATCTGGGGGAAGAACATTCCGGGGCCGAGAGACCTCCACAGACCAAGACTCTGGGTGCCTGACATATTTACGATTAGCGAGGAGACCAGCGCACTGGGAAGAGGGCACGGGGAGACGGCAGTAGAAGTGGGAGCGGAGAGGGAAGGAGCATAAAGGTGGGAGCAGATTCTGCAGGGACTTCTGAGGGTTGTGGCGTGTTTTAAACATGACTCAAAGTCCAACCAAGACTTTCCGATTCTGTGGAAGAACCTGGCTTGCAACAGGTGTCCTAAAGCCTACGGCATCCCCAGGGCCAGGGCAGAAACCAAGACCCAGTAGATCTGCTCTCTATGACAGTGGGGCTGGGGAACAGCCACACACTAATCCAAGCATGCCTGACATTGACCTTCTCATGATCCAAACAAGCTGGTTTCTTAAGGCACTAACTTGAAGGTTGGGGGCGGAAAATCAGATTCCCATCCTGGGGGATGTGTCAGGATAGGCTAGGTTGCCATAACAGAACAATTCAGTGGCTTAAGGGACGTAGAAATGTTTCTCTTTCTCGTGCAATAGATCTCAGAGGGGCATTTCAGGTTAACAGGTGACTCTGCTCCGTGAGGTCGCTCAGGAACCCAGAGTGGCAGCAGCGCTGCCATCTTCAACACCGGGCTTCCAGAGTCGCCAGCTGTCACCACCCCACCAGCAGGAAAGGAGGAGGCACACCACAAAGTACCAGAAGCCTCTCGAGACACCCACTGGTGGCCTTTTCTTACACCCCCGCACTTTCGCCTTACCCTTCTCCCTCCGCCATCCCACGCACATAGCAGGCAGGCTCCCTGTCCAGCCAGAAGAGCCCAGTGGGCTCACTGGCCACGCTGGGCCACTCTGAGACAGCTGCAGGCCCTGGCATCTTATCCACGTGGCCTCACTGTTCCCTACTTCCAGCAGAGGAAGGTGTGGTTCTTCCCCTACCCTGTTTTACTTCCGCAACATTCCTGCGAGGCATTGCTGGTGCATAAAATTCTCCACTTCATTACACAAGTAATTCAGGGTAGCTGCACAAAGGATGATTTAGGGGATTAGCAGGAGATTAGGTGGGACAGGTAGGCAGGGGCCAGGGCATGAGGGCTTTAGAAATCTGTGTTAGCAGAGCTCTCCCTTTACCCAAAGGGACAGGAGGCAGCCAGGGAGTGGGAGAAGCAAGATAGGAAGCAGGTTTGAGGGGTGTTTTAGAAAGTCATGGAGATTATCCTGGAAAGAACGGATAGGAGAGATGGAGATCGAAGACCGGGACACCTGTCAGGAGAGGGTTGCGGGAATCCTCCCTGGGTCTCCGTTTCCTCATCTGCAAATTGGGGGTGAGAGTGCCACATCATAAAATTGTCATGAGGACTGAAGGGGTGGAGGTCTGGAAAGTGCCCTGTGCGTGGTGAACGTTCAGGAAATATCGGCTGTCGTCCTTAACCCAAGTGCAAGACGGTGTGACCCGTGCTAAGATGGTAGTCATGGAAATAGAAAAGCCCAGATTCAGCGAATGTTAAAATGTTAGCAACTGGAGAGTTGAGTGATTGTAAAGTGGGTGAGGAAGGAACGAAAAGAGGGCTTACTGGTCACTGAGATTTGGAGACCACCAGGCAGGGGTGTGACACGTGGGCGCTGAGATGCCCGTGGGACACTCATCACGGGTGGGGTGGGGGGGTAGATTTCAACAGGCCGCTGGGTCTCCTGGTCTCAAGACCAGAAGAAAGTCTGGGCTGAAGATACAGAGTTGGAGTCTTCATCATAACATAGCCACTGAAGCCAGAGAAGCTAGTGGCATTTCCTGGGGGGAGTGGGTGAAAAGAGAGGGTGACCCGAGAAGGGCTGGGGAAACCCACCCGGGAGCCCGCGGAGGAAGAGAAGGAACAGCAGGCAGAGGGAGGGGTCGGCAGCGCCATGGGGGGCGGTGCAGGCCCGGTCCGGTCAGGACACAGGCGGTCCCGTGGATTGGGTGGGAAAGACACTGGCTTTGGGGAACACGGTTTCTGCGGAGCAACAGAGGCAGGACGGAGGCGGGGGCGGTGAGGACGGGGGCGATGGCAAGCCTAGCGCCTGGTACAAGAAATGTGGCCGGAGAGGGAAGGGGGACTGAGCGGAAGTGGAGGGCGAAGAGGGGGCGGGGCGAGCCGGAGAGACGGAGCACAGGCACTTGCTGATGAGGCGGGGTCAGGAGAGAGTGCGAAGGGGTCAGGCTGTGAGCCAGAGCGAGGTGGCCCCCGTGGAGGAATGTCCCTGTGGGGGAGAGAGGGTGAGGTTAAGGGTAGAGCAGAGGGACTGACCTCGGACGCGGGAGGTGACAAGTGGGGAGCCGTGGGGATGCGGGCGAGCTCGCCAGGGCTGAGGACAAAGCTGGGTGTGACAGCTGAGCCCACTTTGAAAGCCGTGTGACAGGCCACCCTTGCTAGAGGGATGCTATCATCACAGAAGCACAGGTCAGGGCCCCAGAGAGCCACAGGGGGGCCTCGGGAGCCCGGGGCCAGGCTGAGAGGGGAAGGGGTGCCTGGGAGGCAGGGGGGCCAGGTGCAGGGCGGTCACGTGGGGGCGCTGGAGCGTGAGCGTGCCTGTGGGGGCGCAGGCCGGGCGTGGCTGGGAGGCTGGTAGGCACTGAGTCGCGTCGGTGTCCCCTTTCTCTCCTGCAGTGGGACTTGGTGTGCGACGCCAACAAGCTGAAGGAGATGGCCCAGTCTGTGTTCATGGCAGGCATGGTGGTAGGGGGCGTCTTGCTGGGAAGCCTGTCCGACAGGTGAGACACTGGGGCCTCCCACGAGGGGGCACAGCCCATGGTGACCACTCCTCCCCTCTGTGCTCCACCCCTGAGCCCCAAAGAGGCAAAGAGCTGAGGAGGGCGGGAGGAATGGTGTTGCTGGGCAGCCTTGGGCGAGCCCCAGGGCTCTCTGGGCCCCAGCCTCCTCTCTGACCCAGAGCCCCTGTGACTTGAGTCCTGCGGCCTCCCAGACCCAGTGGGGGAAGCGTCCAGGTTTCCCGACACAGCGCAGCGGCTGTATGGCCATAGACATGGGGTGGACGGACTGCTTCAAGGTGGCCTGACCCTTTGAGCCCTGCTCAGGCAGCTAAGCTGGAGGTGGAAGGGATGACTCATTAACTATAAAACCTCTAATTACAAACTTGTCCCCCGCCACCAAAAAAAATGCAATTACAAGCAAAGCTCCGTCCGGAAAGGAAATCTCACGTCCCTCACAGCGCTCCGAGAGGCGAGAGGTCCCACCCTGCCCTCCAGGTCTGCAGAGTCCATCGCCTCGGCTGGCTCCCAGCGGCTAACCTGGCCCCTTCTCTCCTTCGAGCTGCAGGTTTGGCCGAAAGCCCATCCTGTCCTGCAGCTACCTGCTGCTGGCGTCCAGCGGCTCAGGTGCCGCCTTCTGCCCCACCTTGCCCGTGTACATGGCCTTGCGCTTCCTGTGTGGCTTCAGCATCGCAGGTGTTATCCTGAGCTCCGTGATCCTGAGTGAGCCTCAGGGGGAGCGGGCAGGGGAGCCCCAGCCGGAGCCTGGAGAGTGGGGTCTGGGCCTGGGGCCCCCGGGGCCTTGGTAGAGCAAGGTGTCGCCCTCCGAACATGACAATGGCACACATAGGAGCAGCAGCTCTGTGTCGGTCCTGAGCACCCACCTCTGCTGAGGGTGTGATCTTGCTCAGTCCGCACACATAAGGAAGGGATGCTATTACCCCCATTTTACAGACAAAGAAATTGAGGCAAAACAAGGGAAGCCACCGGCCACTGGGGAGGCCATCAAGAGCGTGGGCTTGGGAGTCAGGCTGGCCTGAGTTTGGGTCCTGCCTTCTTGAGCCTCCATCGCAGCACCTGTCGAACGGGGTCAATGAGCCCTGAGGGTCAGAGTCAGACCCAGCAGCCAGGAGCGGATGCCCCTCCATAGGCAGGTGTCTAGGGTCCAGAAGGGCCCTAACCTGGTCCGTGGGCTCCTCCCGCAGGTGTCGAGTGGGTGTCCACCCGGATGCGGGCCATCATATCCGTTGGGATCGGCTACTTCTACACCATGGGCCAGTTCGTCCTGCCCGGCCTGGCCTACGCCATCCCCCAGTGGCGCTGGCTGCAGCTGACCGTGTCCGCTCCCTTCTTCGCCTTCTTCCTGCTGTCCTGGTAGGTGGCCTCTCCCCCTTCACGTCCCTCCTTAGGCCCAGCAGAGCCCAGCAGAAAGCCCAGGCCTGGCCAGGCTGGCCAGCTCTGTGCATCCTGGTGCTTCCCTGTCCCAGAGTCAGGGAGGGGACCCCAGGGCAGAGGAATTACCTACACAAAGGCAAGGCGCAGGAGGGGGCACGTGTCTGGGGCGCCCTGAGGGCTGCCTGCAGCAGCAGAAGGGCTGAGCTAAGATGGACAGGACGAGCCAGGCCTCAGAGAGCACAGAAAAAGCCAGGAGGCCTGACCTTCGCATGGGGGGCCGGTGACCCCCTCCGGAGGTGTCCATGGTGCTGAGCAGCTTGGTCAAGCTTCCATCAGGGAAATGACAGCACAGAGAGACAGACCCAGGCGGGTGGGGACAGGAGACAGAAGGGAGGTAACCGTAGGGGCAGGAGGATCAGGGGACAAGTGTGAGAGGCATTTTGAAGGAAAACCCACACCACGTGGGGACTTCTGGGTTCGAGGTGCAAAGGAGAAGAAAGCTCAAAGCCTGAGAACCTGGCGGGATCAAGGTGCCTGGGTCAGAGATCCCCAACTGGTCAAGAGTTCATTAGTAGCAAGTCAAACCTGAAGGCCCCTGGAAGACAGGAAGTGAATCTCCAGAAGGTAGTTGGAGCCAATGAATAGGAAATAAGAAACGCACTCAGGACGAGAAACAGAGTCTCTCAGCAGCCCCTTTACTGGGCACTGGGCACTGGCCACGCGCGAGACCCTGTCCTGGGCGCCGACCTAGACTGTCCCCCACCCTCACGGCATCTCCGCGAAGGGAGCCTTGTTGCTCCCATTCCACAGGTGAGGAAACTGAGGCTCCGAGAAGCGAAGCAATCCCCCCAAGTTTACACAAAAAGATACACAACTGGGATGGGACCTCCATCTGGAAATGAGAAATAGAATCTTCTAGAAGGGATGGACAATCCTGGGGTGCGAGAGGGGCTCAGCAGGCTCAGGGTGGAGCCAGGAGATGTCTCCGGCCAGGGAGGGGAGCGGAGAAGGAGCGAAGTGTTGAAATGGCAGCAGGGTCAATCGGGTACAGTCGGTCGAGAGCCCGGGCCCCTTCCTATGGGACTTGGGACAAGCCTCACCCACTCCGAGCCTCAGGGTTTTCTAAGCGAGATGAAGATAAGAACAGAATGCGTGTCACCCAGACTCACATGTGCCCAGCCCACAGGGAGGCTCGCTCCTGGGAAGCCATTGTTGGCACTGTCCCCAGAGCGAGGGGACGGAGCTCAGGCCCTGCCACGGTGATTGGAAGTCACTGATAATCTGGGTGTGCACGGGCTGACAAAACTGGGCAGACACAGACGCTGAAAGGCCAGGAAAGGGGATAGCCATGGGCCCTGGAGAGGACTGGCCACTATCAGCTGAGCCCAGTGGTCTGAGTGACCAGTGTCCACTCCCCCAAGGGCCCCGCTGGAGCCAGGTCCTGGGTGCCTGCAGGGGCCACAGCTGAAGTCAATTTCAACTCAGGCCAGACTTTTCCAAACATCACTCCTTTCTCCCCACACCTAGTGACCCTCAGGGGCTGCTCAGGGTGAACCGGCCCCACAAGTGCTGCCCCGGAGGGAGGGAGAGTGAGCTTGGCTACCCCCTCGCCCATCCTACCACACCATGCTGTGCTCACCCCTCAGCCCCTCCCCAGCAGAGTTGGTCCTTTGTAGGAAGAATCCAAGGATCCTCAAACCCATGCCCTAGACCACAACCCTCACTTTCTCCCCCTCCCAAGCCGCCCCTTCACCCAGGACCTGAAACACAGCCCAGGGAGGCTGGGGCGGTGAGCGTGCACAACCTCAAGCCGTCCAGCCTCAAACACGCCACCCCCTCCCCAGGCCCCACCTGCCTTGGCCTCGGGCCCAGGGCTCCTAGCTAAGAAGACACCCAACGATAACAAGCAGCCCAGGTAGGGGTTGCTGAGCAAAGGCTCTTCTTGGGGGCGGGGGAGAGGAAAACACTGGAAGTAGTGCTGGCTGCAGGCAGCCCAGGTGCAAGGCTTGGCCAAGTTCAAATTCCGTGAAATCTGTGGTGAGGCGGCTCAGGTTTCTGGGTCTCCTACCCCTCAGCCCTGGCTGGACCTCTTCATCCAGCCTCTCAAAGGGGCTTCCAGCGCGGGGGGGTGAGCCTCTGTGGTCTGACCCCCAGGTGGATACCGGAGTCCATACGCTGGATGGTCCTGTCTGGCAAGTCTGCAAAGGCCCTGAAGACCCTCCGGTGGGTGGCCGCCTTCAACGGCAAGAAGGAGGAGGCAGAAAAAATCAGCCTGGAGGTAGGGGCCTCGAGGCACTGAAGTCTGGGGCAGGGAACTGGTCTCTGCCCTCCCCCCGGCCACTGTTCCCCTGCTCACACGCCCACCCCCCCCTTCTGACACTAAGCAGACTCCTCTCAAGGCACCAGGCCTGCCCCGGCCTCTCTTCCTCCCGCCGGCCAGCAGTGACTAACGGCAGCCTTCCCCTCCCTCCGCCCCAAGGAGCTCAAACACAACCTGCACAAGGAGGTCTCCTTGGCCAAGGCCAAGTACAGCATAGCCGACCTGTTCCGGAAACCCATCCTGCGCCGCGTGACCTTCTGTCTCTGCCTGGCCTGGTAACCCACCACCCCTCCCTGCCCACGCCCTAGTGCCTCTGCCCAGGCAGGGGTGACAAACAAGGCCTCCGGCAGGTGAGCAAAGGCCAGGGCACCTGCGAGAGGCGTCAAGGGACCCCCCTCCCCTGGGCTACCCCGGCCCAGCCCCATGAAGTCCTCTGTGTCCCTGCCCCACACCTGGGTCCAGCCATCAGGGTCTGCTTTCCTCAGGGGGCACACCCCCCACCCCCGGGCGGGTGTTCCAAAGCCCCTCCCCAGCTCATGTCCCTGCCACGGCCGTCTCCGCCCCCTGCTGTGCCCCTGACACTGTCCCCCACTGGTCCGCCTCTGTCCTCCGAGACCCCACTGAGCACAGTCCTCAGGGCTTCAGACTCGAGGACAAAATGGTGTTTCTCCTCCTCATCTCTTCTGTCCGCCATTCCACTGCTCCTGCAAAGCCCTGCCTGTGACCCGGTTCTGAGGCCCTTCTCCACCCTGGCCATCCCTACGCAAGACTGAATTTGCTCAGGGACCCTTCGCAAGCGACCCCAGACTTCCGGAGAGGGAAGGGCAGGCCCCCGGCTCACGCTCGGAACTCCACTTTCACTCCCCGTCGCCGGGTGTTACACTATCGCCACCCAAGAGAGACCCTTTACCGCCTCCTCTGGTCTCCAGCAGCCCCTCCAGCCCCAGTGTTCTCTGGAGTCAGTTATGTGGTGTCTTTGCCACCGCACCCCAGACCCTGCCCATGTCAGACATAACCAGTCAATCCCAGCACTTTTCTCACCTAGTCCAGACACAGCCTCAGGGACCTCGAAACAGCCCTGGGACCGCCCAACCGATCAGTGGCAGCTGGGACGCAAATGAAACTAGTCATCATCCTGGTGGCCCAGTGACCAGTATGAGGCAGCAGCAGGTGCTAACTGGACTGTCCCCCCTACCCTCAGGTTTGCCACTGGTTTTGCCTACTACAATTTGGCTATGGCCGTGGGAGAATTTGGGTTCAACCTCTACGTCCTCCAGCTCATCTTCGGCGGGGTCGACGTCCCGACCAAGTTCCTGGCCATCCTCTCCATGAGCTACCTGGGCCGGCACAACACCGAGGTCGCCGTCCTGCTCCTGGCAGGCATGACCATCCTGGCTCTCATCTTTGTGCCCTCGGGTGAGCCGCCGGAATGACCCCCGTGCCCTCTGGAAGAGGCTGACCCATGCAGGCCAGCGTGTCCGTGGGCATCGAGGGCGGCCACCCAGCTGGGCAGCAGGTGCCAGGGACTCCGGTCCTGCCGATTCTGTCTCTGATCCACTGCGTTGCCCTGAGGAGGTCCCTGTGCTCTCTGGGGCTCTGGTCTCTCATCTGGAAAGCAACTCAGTCGGGCTACAGGATGTCCCAGGTCCTTTCCCGCTCTCACTCTGGAAAGCATGCTGCCGTCTGCTCAGGGTGCAGAATTTCTCGAGGGGTGGGCCTGGCCTGAGGGGCACCACGGGAGAAAACGGGCTGGGGTGGAGACACAGCAGAGCCCAGTGCTCACAGAACCCCCTCCACCATAACCGCGAAAAAGCCAGCTTTATTGTCTACAGGCGTTTCTGTGTTGATGCCCCTCTGTCCCTCCAAAGGAACTGGAGATATTTTAGGACAAGAACACGCACAACAAAAAAAAAATTAATGAGAACAGGGAATCAGAGCCTGGGAAAACCACAGATACAGCAGGACACAAACCTGTTAAAGTTAAACCCTAGGAGTAGCAGAGTGGCCATTACTTGGCTTTATGTTGGGGTCTGAGCTTCCCGGCAGCCAAAGCAAAAAGGGAGACAAGGTCTGCACGCAGGTGCTCCTAAGCCCCAAGGCTCACCACACGTTCTTCCCCCCACAGACTTGCAGACCCTGAGGACGGTGCTGGCTGTGTTGGGGAAAGGATGCCTGTCCAGCTCCTTCAGCTGCCTCTTCCTCTACACGAGTGAACTGTACCCCACAGTTATCCGGTAGGTGCTGGGCCTGGGGCTGGCCCCACCGAAGGACGCAGGCTCAGGTGGGACTGCGGCATCCCCCCACACCCTGCCCGGGGCCCAGCGCCGTCCTCCAAGAGCCCCACGCGCAGGCGGCCAATCCCCGCTCTGAACCCTCGCAGGCAAACGGGCATGGGCGTCGGCAACCTGCTGACACGCATCGGCAGCATGACGGCCCCGCTGGTGAGAATCACGGCGGAGTGGCATCCCTTCGTCCCCACTGTCATTTTTGGGACCGTCGCCATCCTGGGAGGCAGTGCTTCCCTCTTCCTGCCCGAGACCCTCAACCAACCCCTGCCGGAGACTCTCGAAGACTTGGAGAAATGGTCAGTCCCCCCTTCCGGCCTCCTCGGCGCCACCCCTCGGGGAGGCAGGTCCGGGCCCAGGGCTCTCCCTCAGCTCTATTTCTCTAGGTCCCCACAGGCAAAGGGGCCAAAGCAGGAGCCAGAAGCAGAGAAAGATTCCCAGAGGAGCCCTCTGCAGCCTTGCCAGCCAGGCCTGGGCCCCAGCTGAGGGCGACAGACCCTCCAGAGACGAGCCCCAGCCAGGTCCCTGCCTGCCCCTGGGCTCCATGGAGGACAGGGGCCCCAGGACAGGTCCCTGCTCTTAGAACGGAGGCTTCTGAGAGCTTGGGGACACTATCGCCACCACCACCACCGCTCCCCCAGCCCAGCCCCGACCGGCTCAAAGGTTCCACCACCGGCCTCCCCAGACCCCGTCGCCCCCTTCCCCCCTGCAGCCCAGGCCCAGCCACCTTCCCCACTGCCCCAGCTCCCTCTCCCTGAAGCCCCCTGGCCGCCATTCCCCCCCCCCCCGGCCCCCGGCTCAATCCTCCCTCCCCTTCTTGCCCTCCACCCCCTTTTTTAATGGGAGGTTTCAATAAACAATGAAAGCCTTGTGTGGCTCAGGAACGGGGAAGGCGTTGGGGGGGGGGGCAGGCCGCCGCGTGGACATGCGAGCTGCACATGCATCACCTGTACCTGCGTGTGCAGGAAGGACACGCAGGTACATGCAAGCCGGGATGACGCGAACATACGCACGCATGTGTGAGCATGCCGAAGCATGTACACACCAATCCTTCCGCACCTGTCTGCTCGAGCCAGCGACGCAGCGTGTCACGGACGGGGCCACGTACACCACACACACTGCTTTCTCGCCGCCCTGGGAGCTGACAAGTCTGAGGGCCAGGTGCTGGCAGACTTGGTCAGAGCTCTGGTCAGAGCTCTCCTCCTGGTTCGCAGCCAGCCCCCTTCTCGCTGCGCCCGCACGCATGCGCGGGAGGGGAGTGGACGGGCCCCCTTCTCGCTGTGCCCTCACGCGTGCGCGGGAGGGGAGAGGAAGCCAGTCGTCGGGTGTCTCTTCCCTGAGGACACGCAACCCCTCGTGAGGGCCCCACCCTCGTGACCTCCTCTGACCCTAGTTATCTCCCAAAGGCCCGCCTCCAGTCACCCCCACCTTGGAGGTTAGGGCTCCCTCATGCGCATCCGGGCGGGGACCCGGGCGGTCCACTGCAGGTCTCCACGCCCCAGAGCGCCCGTGAGCAGGCAGCTGGACAGACCCAGAGTGGCCGCAGATACACGGGGCTCCTCCCTCCGAGCCCGATCTTCCTTCCCTGCTCGCCCCACGCACACCTCCGACCCACGTCCCAGCCCCACGCCCACCACACGGCCGTGCCTCCTATTTGCAGAGAAAACGTCAGCCAACACCGACCCCGTCCACGTCTGCTGCCACGTTTCCTGGGGTCCCGTCTAAGTCCAGTCCTCTCTCGCGGGGGGGCCCAGCACCCAGCCTCCCCCCGTCAGCAGCCAACTGCTTCCCCCCTGAGGGCTCCACCCGATCCCTCCCTCCTGGCTCCTTCCGGCTCCGGTGAAGCTCAAGCCTCTCCTGCCTGAACGAAAACCACGCCAGCCAGCGAGCAAACCTCCTCAGAGGCCTCACCTCCTGCCAGACCGCCCGGCCCTTTCCCTCGTTCACGGCCAGGCGTTCCAGAGCAGCGGCCTGCCTCCACTTTCCAACCCACCCGTCTCTGCAGCGCACGTGGCTCCCGCCCCGCCCGGAACTGTTCCCACCAAGCGCACGCATTGCCCCGCGCTGAATCCACAGGTCACTTTCCGTGCCTCGTCTTACGTGGACTCGGAGCGGATTTGGTTCTGTTGGCCGAGCCCTGCTCCCTCGGTTGCTGAGACGCCACGCGCCTGTGGCTCCCTCCCACACTCCGGCTGCCCCTTCTCAGTCTCCTTCGGGGTGTCCCCAAGGATCCGAGCCCCGGGGCCTGCTGACTGAACAGTTGCATGACCCCACCCCTCTGCCCAGGACCGACGGGGCCAGGGGCCACTGCGGATCCAAGTCTCGCCGATCCCGTGTTCCGACCCGGGCTGGGGTTTGAGTGTGGAGAGTCCAGTCCATCCCTTGGCCCTCGCCCTGGGAAGGACGTTGCCATGAGGGTGGGCTGGTCCAGAGGCAGGTCGAGCAGAGAAAGGATGAGAAAGGGACACAGAGAAAAGCAGAACAAGAGACGGCAGGGCCCAGGGAGACAGAGCTGGTGAGGCTGTTTCCATCGACTCTCTGCGGGCTCCAGGTCCCGGGGCCTGCTCAGCCCGGCATGCGCTTTGGGACCCTGGGTTCCCGTAAATACCCCTGAACTCCCCACATCGATTCCCCTTCTGGTGTAAGCTAAACTCGGGGATCTCCCTCCCTGTGACCAGACGGTTCCCAAAGCCGGACCCCTTCCTCGGCCGCTCCTCGGAACCCTCCCCCGGGGGCCCGTCCTCTGACCCTCTTCCCAGTGCTGTCCAGTGGGCATGTGGCGCGAGCCACCGCTGTGAGTGAAAAACTCCCAGTGGCTGCTTTGTCAAAGTTTCAAAAAGGGGATTGAGTGTGGGCTGCGAACCAAAGCATCCCAGGTTCAATTCCCAGTCAGGGCACATGCCGGGGTTGCAGGCCATGACCCCCAGCAACCGCACATTGATGTTTCTCCCTCTCTCTCTTTCTCCCTCCTTCCCTCTCTAAAAATAAATAAGTAAAATCTTTAAAAAAAAAAGTTTTAAAAAGGGGGAGTTAATTTTAATAAGAGTGTGTCAGATGCAGTAACAGCAGGTTGCACTTCGCCCAGGACATCCCTGTATCACTGTTGCTGCGTGTCGCCGGCATCAAAGTTTTCTCCATGAGAGATTTCACAGCCTTTGGTTCGCGCTGAGGCTTCCGGACCTGCTGTGCGTTTTGTCGTAGTGGCTAGAGCTCTCCCTGCGGACCAGCCCCCTTGAGCGCTCCGCCACGGCTGGGGGCCACCCTGTGGGATGGCTCGGGCACACTCGGCAGAGCTGATTGCCCCCAAATCTGTCCTTAGACATCTGAGAGAGGGAATAAAAAAGAGGTAAAACAAAACAAAACATCGGAGAGAGAGCTCACCAAACCTGAGAGGCCTGCGGGCCCCGCTTCGGCCTCTCCGTGACTCCCCTTCGGGAGGAAGTGTGCTCCCCGTGACACGTGACGGGCCCCACAGTCTGTCTCTGTCCTGCCGCGGTCGTGCCCCACCCGCTTCTACACCCGCCACCTCGCCCCCTGAGATCCAGCCTCATTCCACTTCCTTCGGTGCCTTCTCTCAGCCCTGCCCTTTGTGCCCGCCCTGCACTTGACTTCTGCCCAGCCCAGCCCCGCTGCCTTTGACTTAGGGAAGGGACGATGCCCAGGACGGCACGTCCCAGCCACGCGATCAGGACTCCTGGGGAACTGGGATGCTGGCCAGGACGACTGACCCATCCTCCTTCCTACTCCCAAAGTCCCCGCCCGGTCTGGGTGCTGCCCCCTCTCCGGCTCCCCTCCTCCAGCTCAGCTTCTTCCTGCCTCCCCACTCCCTTCTCTCTGCTCCTGAGCTGGGCCTCCAAAGGGCTTAGTGATTCGCCACTTGGCACCTCTCTTGGGCAGAGTCCTCACACCGAGCCACCTCATTGGTTACCGGCCTCGAGTCAGGCAGTCCGCGCGTGAACTGTTAACATCTGCACCATCCACCGGCCAGGGGAGCCGGGCCACGGGCATGAGGCTCAGTTTGGCACCTTGTTCCGGAAGTCACCGTGGGCCCGTTGGGCCCGCCCTGTCTGCTGCCAGACTCCGCTCCCGGTCCGGCTGTTTCAAACTCATGCTTAGGGCATGTGAGCTGTGCAAGAGTGCTTTCTTTGGTCTGTAAATTATTTATTTGAAAGGTGTCACAAGATAATAAAAAATCAAAATTACACGTCGTCACACTCCTGAAGTCCCATTTATTTAACAGAATGAGTTAGGCAAAATCCAGATGTCTTGGAACATCCGGGACATGTAAGAGCTGCTAGTGTGATAGAAAGAACAACAGGAGCCCTGGCTGGCGTAGCTCAGTGGATTGAGCGCAGGCTATGAACCAAAGTGTCGCAGGTTCGATTCCCAGTCAGGGTACATGCCTGGGTTGCAGGCCATGACCCCCAGCAACTGCACATTGATGTTTCTCTCTCTCTCTCTTTCTCCCTCCCTTCCCTCTCTAAAAATAAATAAATAAAATCAGAAAGAAAGAAAGAAAGAAAAGAAAGAAAAAGAAAGAGCAACGGCATCAAGAGGACTGCTTGCCGTGTGATCACGGGCCACCCTTGCCTCCTCTGAGCCTCGACCTCCTGACCTGTGACGGCCTCCATCTCTGATGGCATGTGGGTCTGTGGCTCTTGGCCAATCTCAAGTCCCCAGATTTGACCCCTTTGTCCTTAGAGGATAGTCCCTGACTCTGCAAATCATTTTCCATGTGACCATTTCTGTCTAGAAGCTCTCTATGAGCTGGGAGGCCAGTGGGGACTCCCCTTGCTACCCGAATGATCCCAGGAGCCAACCACAATGCAGTCCCTGGAGTCCTAGTTGAGCTTTTTCCAGACTTAGCCTGACTGGAAGCTGGTCAGGCACTGGGAGAGGGGGGGAGCTCTTCTCCAAAGCAAGGCTGGGCACAGGCTCAGAGGGGGAGGGTTCTTCAGAGGACCCCCCCTACCTCCCCCACTGGCCTTAGCACTCTGTCCTCTCCCCCATGAAGATAGCAAGTTCTGGCAGGAGACTGGCCCCAGAGCCCCGAGTCTGTTTGTCCAGCTGTCCTCACACCCCCAAGGCACGAGGCTCTTGTTTATATACCTTGGCCTGGAGAACGGTGTTAGGCATCTGGACACCCACCGGGTCCCGGCCCAGAGCCCACCCTGGGTGAGAGGACGGAGGCTGGGCTGAGTCGCATCCCTCTCTGGGCCTCTCCTCTCCCCTTCTGGACAAACGAGATGGGGTGATGTCTCAGACCTCACTAGCTGGGCAGCCCACCCCTCCAGAGCAGCGGTTAAGAACCTGGCTTTGAAGTTAGACAGAACAGGTGTGAACCCATCTGAGGCCTCGAGGATCCCAGGGCCCTGAGGGACAATGAACACCTCCCAGCTTAAGACACAAAAGAGTAGTTTCTGTAAAGTGCACACAATGACAGGGCATCTTAAATCCTTACAAGAGACGTTGGAAATCACACTGCTTCATCTCAGCAACAAGATGAAGATTTTGCACCTGGAGAACTGAGAACCTGAGAACCAGTTTGCAGAGGGGGGCTGCCAGGATCCCCCAGTGGAAACACACCGCAAAAGACAAAGAGCAGCCCCTGCTCAACAGTGG